GGGTTTAAGAGCAAATGAAATGTGACCATACTTTATCACTCATATATCATCATTGATGCTGCTATTTAGGCCTACAGTATATAGCATTTGAAAAGTCATCAAGAGTTATTGTTTCAATTCAACACAGTATTCAACTAAAAATAGACAATACAATAATAGGCATGGGGTTTCAAGCTCTGGTTGATTTAAAATGTAATGATATTTAGTGATATTGAATTGTGTTTGGTTGTCAACGCAACAAAATATCAACATTTGAAGGAGATGTACTTTATCTTCTGCTTGTTTCATCTGTGCCACTGACTTAGTTTAGCTTTAATTCCAGTTTGTCTACAAATTCACGTTTCCATTAGCCTCGTACGCTACATCTCCATCTCAACAAAAAAAATCAACTAAGTGCATTTAAAGTTTGATTTCGTCCTATTGTTTAACTTCGATTTTTGGTTGAGATGGAGACGTGAATCCAACATATGAATTATTAATTTGTAGACAAACTGGAATTAAAGCCAGACTAAGTCAGTGGCACAGATGGAACCATCCAAGCAGAAGATAAATCTCCTTCAAATGTTCATATTTGGTTGTGTTGACCATATCCCTTTTGAAATACAATTAACAAATTATATGTTGGATTCACGTCTACAACTCAACAAAAAATAAAAGTTAAAGAATGGGATTAAGCCATGGCTCAGATGGACCTATCCAAGCAGTAGATACACCTCCTTTAAATGTTGATATTTGGTTGTCAACCAATTCAATATTACTTTTGCAATACAGTAAGTAGCCTAAAGTTAAGCCTATCTTGCAAACTAATGTAACATTCAACCTTAAAATGAGTAACACATCCATGGTCACATTTTGAGATTACTGTAACTATAAATGTCTTCTTATGTAATCATATAAAGCATGCATGTTCAAGATAGCATCCATAGGTCGTCGCAGGTCTGTGGAGATCTTCACAATTGCTGTAACAGTCTGCACAGAATCTAGAACGGCACTGATCACTTTGACCATATTATTTTAATGTAATCTTAACTGCAATCCAGGTAATTTGGTTCTGCTATTAGATGAAGCACAGTGATAACACAAACTTTTGTATAAATAAACAAAATATCTGACATTGTATTTCCATTTGAACTTTTGCTGTGCTTTTAAAAATGGTTAAAAGCGCAGCGATAGACATTAGGGTGACAACTAACTTTTGGTTGTCTTTTTGAATATAGGTTGTAATCTCATTGATCAACGTCTCAACCAAATATGACCACGTTGAAATGACGTGGTGTGCCCAGTGGGTTATGTTACAATCATTCAAGTATCAGATCACACGGATCAGAACATGTCCTGCATGTTGTTTTTCCATTCTTCCTGTAGCTACCCATACTGTTTATGTTCATAACTAATATAGCTTTTTTCCTTTTGAGAATGTAGCCAAAATGTAGTTTTCAATAATAATGCTTCAATCAAGTCATAAACTTCCATCAATTCAATTCAAGCTATTCGGTACGTCAGAGCCATATACAGTGCATTCGGAAAGTATTCAGACCCCTTGACTTTTTCCACATTTTGTTACGTTACAGCCATTTTTAAATGGATTAAAAAAACAAAATCCTCATCAATCTACACACAATACCCCATAATGACAAAGCAAAAACAGGTTTTTAGAAATGTTAGCAAATGTATTTGATCCTTTACTCAGTACTTTGTTGAAGCACCTTTGGCAGCGATTACTGCCTCAAGTCTTCTTGGGTATGACGCTACAAGCTTGGCACACCTGTATTTGGGGAGTTTCTCCCATTGTTCTCTACAGATCCTCTCAAGCTCTGTCAGGTTGGATGGGGAGCATCGCTGCACAGCTATTTTCAGGTCTCTCCAATCGGGTTCAAGTCTGGGCTCTGGCTGGGCCACTCAAGGACATTCAGAGACTTGTTTGTAGCCACTCCTGCGTTGTCTTGGCTGTGTGCTTAGGGTCGTTGTCCTGTTGGAAGGTGAACCTTCGCCCCAGTCTGAGGTCTTGAGCGATCTGGAGCAGGTTTTAATCAAGGATCTCTCTGTACTTTGCTCTGTTCATCTTTCCCTCGATCCTGACTAGTCTCCCAGTCCCTGCCGCTGAAAAACATCCCCACAGCATGATGCTGCCACCACCATGCTTCACCGTGGGGATGGTGCCAGGTGTCCTCCAGACGTGACGCTTGGCATTCAGGCCAAATAGTTCAATCTTGGTTTCATCAGACCAGAGAATCTTATTTCTCATGGTCTGAGAGTCCTTTAGGTGCTTTTTGGCAAACTCCAAGCGGGCTGTCATGTGTCTTTTACTGGGGAGTGGCTTCCGTCTGGCCACTCTACCATACAGGCCTGAAAGGTGGAGTGCTGCAGAGATGGTTGTCCTTCTGGAAGGTTCTCCCATCTCCACAAAGGAACTCTGGAGCTCTGTCAGAGTGACCATCGGGTTCTTGGTCACCTCCCTGACCAAGGCCTTTCTCCCCCGATTGCTCAGTTTGGATGGGCGGCCAGCTCTAGGAAGAGTCTTGGTGGTTCCATACTTCTTCCATTTAAGGATGATGGAGGCCACTGTGTTCTTGGGGACCTTCAATGCTGCAGCAATATTTTGGGACTCTTCCCAGATCTGTGCCTCGACACAATCCTGTCTCGGAGCTCTACAGACAATTCCTTCGACCTCATGGCTTGGTTTTTGCTCTGACATGCACTGTCAGCTGTGGGACCTTATATAGACAGGTGTGTGCCTTTCCAAATCATGTCCAATCAATTGAATTTACAACAGGTGGACTCCAATCAAGTTGTAGAAACATCTCAAGGATGACCAATGGAAACAGGATGCACCTGAGCTCAATTTCGAGTCTCATAGCAAATGGTATGAATACTTATGTAAATAAGGTATTTCTGTTTATATTTTTAATACATTTGGAAAGATTTCTAAAAACCAATGGCAGAAAAAAACTGACAGACTATTGCTAATGGATGTGTGTCTATTGTCCCATTGTAGTGCCTCTCAACTAGCCTTGTTTGACCACCCTGATCTCGAGAGCTTACGTTCTGTTTCGCTACACAGATTCAAACGAAACGAGAGTGCAGTGATCAGGCTTCCTCTAAACACCCCTAAGTGCAATATTTGTCATTGTGCCGTGTTCTTTTGGAGAGGAAATGTGCACTTTTCAAAATAATGTTATATTATCTTACATGCAAAGTTTCACACCTGCTATCCTACTACAGTACCTTCAGAAAGTATTCCTTCAGAAAGTATTCATACCCCTTGACTTATTCCACATTTTGTTACAGCCCAAATTCAAAATTGATTAAATATAGGTTTCTCACCCATCTACACACAATACCCCATAATTACAAAGTGAAAACATGTTTTTAGAAATAGATATAGTCCCAACACAAATCTAGGGTTGCTAGAGACGCGACCCAGTCGTTCAGTCTTTTTGTTCTGTATCTATGGACGTGACCCAGTCCTTTGCCATACTGACTGGCAACGTTCTTATCCCTTGCTTGCTAGCTAGCCAACTACATCTAACTTACAGTCACTTCAAAAAGCCAGAATAACAGCGAAGTAGCTGCATTTGCATAAGCTGTTTTCTAGTGACATTTATTTGGATACATCCATAACAATCAGCTAATGAGGCACGATTTCGCCTGGCATAGAAACGTGCTCACTCGTCAGGACACTGTTGTTCAGAGGAGCTAGCCAACAACACAGCTACAGTAACACAATCACTTCAAAGTGAAGCTGGAAAGACAGCATTTTACCTTTTTTCTATTGAGATTTTTTTTATATATATATCCATAAAAATGATGCCGGTTGATTCATGATTTAGACTGGCAGAGAAACGCTCCCTGGCTGTCTGTCTCATCCCGACACGTTCATTACTATGGCACAGCAGGAGATCGAATTTGAATATATTAACAATGTTGCAGATGTCGGCGAGAAAGACAGCAAGGTTTTTACAAATCACCGCTGTTGAAAACTAAATGTTAGTCTAAAAGAAATGTGAGAATGTCTAGATGCTTTTTATAGTGGAGATAATGTTTATAAGTTGCCTGGCTGGGCTGATGAGACAGTGGATTGCGCAGTCAGATGCAACAGAGTAAATAGACATTTTAACGTCATACATTTAGCCGGTGGCAACTTGTGGAATAGACACCGGCTGGAATGCGGATTTAACCCATCAGCATTCAGGATTAGACCCACCCGTTGTATAATCAGGAACATTCACTGTCTTCTTGGTAAGCAACTCCAGTGTAGATTTGGCCTTGTGTTTTAGGTTATTGTCCTGCTGAAAGGTAAATTCACCTCCCAGTGTCTGGTGGAAAGCAGAATGAACTAAGTTTTCCTCTAGGATTTAGCCCGTGCTTAGCTCCATACCGTTTATTTTTTTATCCTGAAAAACTCGCAAGTCCTTAATGATTACAAGCATACCCATAGCATGATGCAGCCACCACTATGCTTGAAAATATGGTGAGTGGTACTCAGTAATGTGTTGTATTGGATTTGCCCAAACATAACACTTTGTTTTCAGGACAAAAAGTTAAATTACTTTACCAACTTTTTTGCAGTATTACTTTAGTGCCATGTTGCAAATAGCATGCATATTTTGGAATATTTTAAGGTTATTTAGGCTTGCCATAACAAAGTGGTTGAATACTTATTGACTCAAGACATTTTAGCTTTTCATCTATTTGTAAAAATTTAGAAAACCATAATTCCACTTTGACTTTATGGGGTATTGTGTGTAGGCCAGTGACAAAAAACTCAATTAAAACCATTTAAAATTCAGGCCGTAACACAACAAAATGTGGAAAATGTCAAGGGGTGTGAATACTTTCTGAAGGCACTGTAGGTCTTGTTCATTAGGAGACACCAAAATGTTTTGCAATGGAAAATTAAAACGAGTATGTCTAATTGAACAAGTTCAGGTAGTCCCTCCCTGTTTCAGTGCGTTTTCTTCCATTTGGTGCCTAATGAACACAACCCTGATGTTCCAAACTGTGACAGGAAGTTGTTTCCTGTTTCCCCTGGCCCAGTTCTCAAGTCTCAAAGATCTTCCAGCTGAGCCTCCATCTTAATCATGATGTTAGAAAAAGATCAACCTAACAAACATGACAGAAAGCCATATCCGCTGGTGTCCATTCTGGGGTGATTGTTCTCGAGGGATGTTGTTCAGAAGTCTAAAAGCGTCCCAGTTAGTTCTCACATTTTCCAACTACCCTGAGCTGAAATTTGAACAGTTCAGCTCAATTCATCTCCGACATAGCCTCCTCAGGCACTTTTATAAAACACAAAACACACTCCATGATGACTAGGATTTTAAGCTGATGGCTGGGTCGTATTCATTAGGGCACACAATAGCAAAATGTTTCCATTCGTTGGCTAATTAATACTAAAGTCCTGAGAAGTCAGTCCCTTGGCTCAGTCATCAGGTTCAGTAACACACTGCTCCACGATCTCCCGCAGGTTGGGGTTCTCCATAGCAGCTGCTACTCTCTCCTTGTCGTTGATCTGTTTGTTAACTAGAGGGAAATGGATAAAACCACAATAAGTTTCCTTCTATTGTCAAACTGCATAAATGTGACCAACTGGGTTTGAACCCAGGTCATCTGCGCGCCACAAGTTGTGTTATCCCACTGAGCTAAAACCTGAAGGTCTGTAAAATGTGACCAATAGGGGATAATGGTTCACCGAATTACCTTCGTTTCATAAAACTAATTCTAGTTGGGCTTTTCAGGTGGAGATACAAATCTAGCCCATGTCTGACATTTCTATTTTATTCAAAATACATTTGCTGGAGATGTGGATAAGGTGGTGTTGTAAGTAATAATACTTACTATCTTCCTCGGTAGAATGAGTTCCTTCAGAAATGTAAATTTCCAACTGTGGAAGAAGAAAAGGTAGATCAACTTTAAAAGAACAAAAAATAAGCATTTCATTTACATTACTTTACTGTATTCCCACAGACCGGTCTAAATCAGGACGAAGGGCTGGAGGTTATGGCCGGGGCCAGTAAACAACCACACCATGCATTTTCATAAAGCTGGCTCGGTACCAGAGGCACCTCATTTTTAACCAGGGCAGCACAAAGGGGAAAAGAAATCACAACACTGTTTTCCATTTCCTTATTGGCTTCAGAGACGACCCTTGAAAAAAAGTAAGACACAAAGCACCCTGTCAACAAAGGTTTTGAAGACAGGAAAATTGGGCAGAATAAATAATTGGATGAAAGAATGTGTTCTTACTAAACACACAAACATTTTCTGCATAAACATTGCTTTACGGATCGGCGTTATGATAAAACTGTCTTCTTCTGACGGGCGTAATGCCACAGCTGCTTACCTTGTGTTTAAACGGCAAGCATCTCTGCAGTTTAACTTGTAAGCACAGGCCTGAAACATACAAGGTACAGAATCATTGACATTGATCTCTGATGTAGGCAATTTGTAAACGCATTCATAAAACATCAGAGCAACACACCACTCACAGGAAGAAAATTGGCCTAATGGGAAGAAGACCATGTAAAAAAGAGCAGAACTGAAAAGAGTGCTTTTTTCATGAGACTGACAGTAACATAAGCCCCCTTCAGAGTTGGTTGGGAACATGTGTAGACATAAAGTAGCTCTATTATGTAAGAGTTCGAACACGGGAATGTGAAATGTTAAATTTGAGCATCATGAAGTTTATATATAGCCTCCACTTTCTCATTCTGAACTTTAATCCGAGTGGGACAGGTGTGGCTTCGTGACAGTGAACAAGAGCAACTGCTCACCGATTTGACAGCTCCAACGCAATTACAGCACCAAAACATCAGCTAGGCGGGTGTCAGCTATCGCCGGTTAACACATGATCTCATTGAATTTAGGCCTAAGTAGACCAATGCAACATTAAGTCAGAACACCTTGACAACCTTGTGGAAGTAGAAACTGAAACTTGTGGAAGGAAATGCATTTCACAGAGGCATTCAAGCACTAATCTGCTGTAGGAGGGTTGGAGACACGCCTGCTTGTGCTCCATACAGCTTATCCTTCGAAGGCCACGGGTGCCACAATGGCTTCAAATATATTGCCCCTTGAAAACCTGGCATGCACCTTTATCATGGCATTTCAAAACGTCCCTATTTATTAAAAAGATAGGAAACGGGGGCTGCATGGACTCTTGACATTCTGTGCCCACGCTGCCAGCTTTGAGGTAGACAAGAATGTCATAGAAATACAGTAGTTGTATCTCTATAAGAATGGTAGCCTGAGAGCCAGTCTGCTTGTGCTATCATGCCAATTCCTTGTCACTCGTTGTCATGTTTGGCTTGACAATAACATCAATGGAGTTGTCAAGAGCACAAACAGATCTGGGACCAGGCTATGAGAATGCCACTGTAGTGTTGTCACATAAACTGTTATATCAGTAAGAGGCTGAATATCTCTTGCTGTTCATGTGAGTTATGAGTTGTTGTTTCTTATCAGTTGAGAGAGACACACCGATTAGTGTAGCCAGAGAGCAGTGGGGGACAGTTGGGGAGAACTTGATAATGATGAGGTATTCGTCCTCTCCAAGATCTTGGACCTCAACACATTTCTCCGTCACAACATCCAGTTCCTCCAACGTGTTAGGCTTCTCAGGGTCTCGAATCGTGCGAATAACATCTGGGGAAAGAAATAGGGATTATGTTGAGGTGAAAACAAGCATGTCACTTATAAATGTTAACCGTTTCAGATGGCTATACAGACAACTAGCTAGTTATCAGTTGAAGTTTACAGTAGTCTGATTGTTTCCTTATCAGAGGAAATATGACATTGTAAAGCAATTGCAGCCTGGCCAGTCCCAGATCTGTTTGTGCCGTCTTGCCATGTAGGCGTGACAACGACCAGGAGTTGTCAGCACACAAACTGATCTGGAACCAGGCTAGAAATAGTGTTTAGGCTAGTGGCAAGTCCACCAAAATGTTGAGATGTCCCAAACCGAGGAATAACAAAACACAATCATGTTTTTCTATATCTCTAAGGTCTCCCATATAGGAAATGGATGGTTATGTAAAAATATTTTACAGCAAAAGAGGTTAAATTGATAGTTATTGTGATACACCCCCTTAACGGAAACTTTCACAATTTTTCAACTTCATATTCATCTCCAGCACCACCCCAACATCAACATATGTGAAAATGGCACATTTTCTGTTTTGTATTAAAAAAGACGGAGGAAGATAAGTGTTTCCAATGGCATTATCAACCAATTAGTAGGCAATGCCTACTCATAATTGGGTAAAATCACATGATGCACACAGATGATGTCATCACTTATCTTCCTCTGTCTTTTTTATTACAAAACAGAAAATGTGCCATTTTCACATGACCCCTTCACTTTTCCCACATTTTGTTACGTTACAGCCTTATTCTGAAATGGATTAAATTGTTTTTCCCCCCCTCAATCTACCCACAATACTCCATACTGACAAAGCAAAAACAGGTTTTTAGAAATGTTTGCAAATGTATTCAAAATAAAAAACTGAAATATCACATTTACATAAGTATTCAGACCCTTTACTCAGTACTTTGTTTAAGCACCTTTGGCAGAAATTACAGCCTTGAGACTTCTTGGGTATGACACTACAAGCTTGGCACACCTGTATTTGGGGAGTTTCTCCCATTATTCTCTGCAGATCCTCTCAAGCTGTCAGGTTGGATGGGGAGCGTTACTGCACAGCTATTTTCAGGTCTCTCCAGAGATGTTCGATCGGGTTCAAGTCTGGGATCTGGCTGGGCAACTGAAGGACATTCAGAGACTTGTCCCGAAGCCACTCCTCCATTGTCTTGGCTGTGTGCTTAGGGTCGTTGTCCTGTTGGAAGGTGAACTTTCGCCCCAGTCTGAGGTCCTGAGCGCTCTGGAGCAGGTTTTCAACAAGGATCTCTCTGTACTTTGCTCCGTTTATCTTTCTCTCGATCCTGACTAGACTCCCAGTCCCTGTCGCTGAAATCCCCACAGCATGATGCTACCATCACCATGCTTCACCGTAGGGATGGTATTGGCCAGGTGATGAGCGGTGCCTGGTTTCCTCCAGACGTGACACTTGGCATTCAGGCCAAAGAGTTCACTCTTGGTTTCATCAAAACAGAGAATCTTATTTCTCATTTCTCAAACTCCAATCGGGCTGTCATGTGCCTTTTACTGAGGAGTGGTTTCCGTCTGGACACTCTACCATAAAGGCCTGATTGGTGGAGTGCTGCAGAGATGGTTGTCCTTCTGGAAGATTCTCCCATCTCCACAGAGGAACTCTGGAACTCTGTCAGAGTGACCATCGGGTTCTTGGTCACTTCCCTGACCATGGCCCTTCTCCCCCGATTGCTCAGTTTGGATGGGCGGCCAGCTCTAGGAAGAGTCTTGGTAGTTCCAAACCGCTTCCATTTAAGAATGATGGAGGCCATTGTGTTCTTGGGGACCTTCAATGCGGCAGAAATGTTTTGGTACCCTTCCCCAGATCTGTGCCTCGACACAATCCTGTCTCTGAGCTCTACGGATAATTAATTTGACCTATGGCTTGGTTTTTGCTCTGACATGCGCTGTCAACTGTGGGACCTTATATGTACAGGTGTGTGCCTTTCCAAATCATGTCCAATCAAGTTGTAGAAACATCTCAAGGATGATCAATGGAAACAGGATGCACCTGAGCTCAATATCGAGTCTCATAGCAAAGGGTCTGAATACTTATGTAAATAAGGTATTCCGTTAATTTTTTATACATTTGCAAAATGTTCTAAAAACCTGTTTTCACTTTGTCATTATGGGGTATTGTGTGTAGATTGATTTACATTTTAGTCATTTAGCAGACGCTCTTATCCAGAGCGACTTACAGTTAGTGAGTGCATCCTTTATCATACTGGCCACCCGTGGGAAACGAACCCACAACCCTGGCGTTGCAAGCGCCATGCTCTACCAACTGAGGATTTTTTAAAAGTTTTTAATCAATTTTAGAATAAGGCTGTAACGTAACAAAATGTAGAAAAAGTGAAGGGGTCTGAATACTTTCCGAATGCACTGTATGTGACCTGTATTTTTGTCACGCAGGACCATGTCCCTATAGCACTGAACGAGAGCAAATTTGCCTTGGAAAGTTGCATATTGAACAGCTACCAAAAAGTGAAGTTTACATTCATCATAAATATATTTTATGTTTGGATATTGGACGTTTACGCGTCAATACCTCTTTGACGGAAGGTCCTATGATGATTAGGGTGATATGTCTAGAATCAGAAGACGATAGAGAGCAAGGTACAGCCTTTTTTTTTCTCTGTTCCTTTTTCAAAAAGTGACTTTAAGTTGGTTTCAATGGGGGGAATATTATGCACTCATGGCCAAGGGACCATCTTAAAAGTGAAATCAGCCGAACCAGGTGTTTACAGAAAAACTTTATTTATTCCTCAACTTTGATTATTTGGTTATTAATTCACCTACAGATCAAAATTGTAATAGCTTCCAGTCCAAATGACATCTAAAACCACTTGATGATAGGTCACTGACCTCCCTCCTCCATAGAAATCCAGTTTTTCATTTAACATGTATATTTCCTATGACGTCTAATTTTCAATAGCTCACTGTCCATATGAGTTACAGATCTTCAGACAAGTATGGTGGGTTCCGAAGCTCTTGCAGAGCAAGGGGAACAACTACTTCAAGGTCTCAGAGCGAGTGACGTCACCGGTTGAAACGCTACTAGCGCACACCACTAACTAGCTAGCCATTTCACACCAGTTACACATAGTACAGGAGGGAGGTCAGTGACCAAATATCAAGTGGTTTTACAGGTATATGTCATGTGGATAGGAGGCTATTGAAAATTTGATCAGTACGTGAATTAATATCTAAAGCTGCAATAGGACAAATATTTGCAGAGAATCAAAGGGGATGAATAAAAAATTAAATGGTGTAGCTTTAATCTGAGACGTGAAGGAACCCACTGCCCTCGTCTGTAGAGCTGTAGCTCATATGGATATGAAGGTATTGCAAATTAGACCTGGAATTCTAATGAATGTAGCATGGATTGGGGGGGGGGGGGGGGGGGGGGGGGGGGTCAGTGACTTCACATTATGTGGTTTTACATCTCCATTTCACCTGGTTGGAAGCTTTTGAAAAGTATCCTTGTAAATGGGTCAAATACAGCACAGTAGTTAGAGGTAACTAATACAAATGTTGCGCCCTTCAGCGACTGGGGTGTTATCTTCATATAGGGCTAACCCACCTGAATGGGAGTGCAAAAACGTATATATTTTTTGTTTAAATGTAATCAATTACATGTATGTAGGGCAGACAATTGACTGCTCGTATTCCACATTTTTGCAATATCAGTTTCCAATATTGGGTTACCTCGGGTAAGGGTATCTCAAAAACTAAAGCCCTAGAGTATTGGCCACTAGCCATGCTAGCACGCAGACTAGAAAACAGCTAACTAGCGCTCTCGCTGTTTCAAGATGCAAATAAACCAATTTACCGTATACTTCTAATGCTTTCTCCTCCATCTTTTTGGACCTTGGTGCATTCTTGCTGTCTGACAATCCGGAGAACTGCAATAGTTTTACTTTAAGCGAGACAAGGCTAGACACTTTTTCAATTTTTCAAATATCGCCATACCCATATCCTCGTGAAGCTTTTTAGGTGACTTTGACGTCAGTGTTTTCACGGGCATCTAAACGGGACGTTACGTGAACAGTTTACTAAAACATACTACCATACGGATTGGCTCATCAACGCAGTTAACTTTTTAAAACAAGATTGAAGTTTACAAATCTGCGTAGGGTATGTGACAAACGACAGCCTGTGGTATTGGCTGATTACTTACTCCTTCAGTTACTGCCGCCTTCAGATTTAAGGCAAAAGCAATCGTTGCTAGATCTATTAAAATTCGGGTTCCTCCTGTGTATGCATAATTATTGAGGGTGAAATAATTATTTGATGTATTTATAAATTAAATTCTCTATAATTTTCCTTAATTCAAACGACAATTTGTGGTGTAAAATATCGAGGTTTCAACAGTATTCTTGTTTGACTAGTACAGTCTTTTTTTTAATTCTCCTATTGGGCAATAGCTTATCAGCTGATACAGAGAACGCATGTCATGTGATTTGTGTCAGGATGTAGGTAAGAATGTTTACATGAAAGAGGAACGTCATCAAATAATATGGATATACTGACAAGATACATGTCTCTCCGCCCTAACAATAAGTCGTTGTCCACAAAGCGGATGTATTTTTATTATAACTAACCCAAGATAGCCTGTCGTTTCCAATGGGAGCAAATGAATCATAGGCTGCATTCCAAACACGTAAAAGACACACCCTCTTCTTCTTCGGTATAATGGCGTTCGCAACAATTATATGTGCATTCTGCCACCTACTGTACAAGTGGATAATAAGGATCCAAAAATGCGGGGAAGAAAATACATTAATACAAAATTCCATACAAACTATCAGTAACGAAATGTTAATTAAACTAAATCAGCCAGCTTTTCTGTTTTAATCAGGTCCCTGGACAAGCTCAGAAGGATCCTGTGATGGTGGGACATTTCCTGGCGACAGTAGTCCTTGCAATGCTTCTGCTGTTAAGTCTTGGAGGCCCAAAAACGTATAATGATGTCCAGCTTCTTGGACACTTGTGCAGTACAATTAATAACTGTGGCTATAAATACTACAACATCCACCTTTTTCAAAATAAGTGTAACCAGATCACTTGATTGAAGTAAAACATGTGCAACCGGTTGTGGTGCTTCCACCGCCATCTCTTCTTCAGAACTGTGGCCTCTTTCCCCTTCAACGCTCTTCACCGCCTCCACATAGGAGATTTGCTGTACAGCCCTGATTCTTGACACCTCAACCTCTTTCACCCTAACAGGGCACTCAGGGAATTCGGAAATATGATCCCCACCACAGTTGCAACGTTTTACATTCACAGACTCTTCAATAACATATTCCTTCCGTCTACAAACACTTTACATTTACAATACATTTACGTCATTTAGCAGACGCTCTTATCCAGAGCGACTTACAAATTGGTGCATTCACCTTAACCTTTAATTCAGTATAATATCCTAATTTAGCACAAGTTGTAAGTATAGGATTGAACAATGGCGACGAGGATAACGTTTGAAAACGATAGTTAAACCTGAAAAGTGAGTTAGTGTCGTCAAGATGGAAAACACTACCAAAGTTTGACTGCTACAGTGAGCCTGCTACGCTAGGTCCACGCTGGACCAGGTGATTGATGGCATTTGAGCTGTTCGTGGATGGTAAAGGATTAATACTATCCCGTGACGTTGATGCGGTTACAAAACAACGGAGGATAGCTTTGCTTCTACACTACCGGTCAAAAGTTTTAGAACACCTACTCATTCATGGGTTTTTCTTTATTTTTACTATTTTCTACATTGTAGAATAATAGCGAAGACATCAAATAACACATATGGAATCATGTAGTAACCAAAAAAGTGTTAAACAAATCAAAGTATATGTTATATTTGAGATTCTTCAAATAGCCACCCTTTGTCTTGATGACAGCTTTGCACACTCTGTACTATTCCACCTGAGGGAAGATGTGGAGAAAAAGATAGAGGAGCTACAAAACATGGACTTAATCAAGAGAGTGGATGGTGCCACACCATGGGTGAATCTGGTAGTGGTAGTGCCAAAACCAGACGGTGACGTAAGACTGTGTCTGGACATGAGACAAGCAAACACAAAAGTTTACAGACCTTGTAATTAAGTAATTATCCTATACTGCAAGGGGTAAAGAAAAGCAGTATAAACTGAAAAGTGACAAGTACAAAGGACTAATGCGAAGACTCTGAATGTTTGAGTTATGTTGTGAAAAAGGTGCAGAATGTTTTGTTACAGAATAAATAAACAATAATAATAATTCTGTTTCGTTTTGCTTAGAAGTAGGCTTAAAAAGGAAAGTCCATTAGGAGAACAGAAGTAATAAGACAAGATTTCAGTTGTTTATTGGTAACACAAAAGGTTGCTATACAGGTAAAGAATGAGTGTTGTTGTGTATGTCAGGTTGACATTGAAGTTCATATCCAAGTAAAGGGGAGGGATGTCCTGTATTGATGTGACGTACTGATATATGACGTCACCACGTCAGTAAAGGAATGTGGGGCTTGTTACACGGACAGTGATGAGTAAAGACATGTTGAAGTTTACCTCAGAGTCTGGTTGATTTAATTCAGTATAATATCCTAATTTAGCACAAGTTGTAAGTATAGGATTGAACAGCATCCACTTTTCCGAACGTCTTCTTCACCATCCTCATGACTTCAAAAGAGTTTCCCAAATAAACATCTTTATCCAAAAAACGTACTCCAACAAGGAACGATTCATCAGACTCATTTTCCACAACAATTGTAACCTTTTTTGTTCCTGTTATGAGAATTTCTATCTCTAATTCAACCTAAGCTTGAATCATTACCAGAGGTTGTAAGGCTCTGGTTTTAATCATAAATGATTCAAGGTCCACAACCAGCAAGAATGATCTGTATTTTTATTCATGGAGAGCTCTGGCGCCCAAAACACATACATACTGTTTTATACCCCTTGACACACAAAGGCACTTTGCTCCGCCCACCTTTAGGAGGCTTTCTTAAACAGTTTCCACCTTCTCCTTCACCCTGGAATGTTTAGTCCCGCCCCCCTCTGCTAGTCGTTTGACACTACATTCTAATTCTAACACCGTTTACACATTTTATACTGTATTTGGGGTGAAATCCTTTAGTCATTAAGCTTAAAATACAAATTAATCTATCAGTTCCATTCTTGGACTTCACTGTTGTCCGCTCATCTTTCTTGCTAACTGTACTCGACCCGCTTTCAGCTTCAAACGACACTTCTGCTTCCGCCATCTCACCAAGACACACCCTCCCCCCTCAGCCCTCAAATTAAGTAGACACTGATGACGTGTCAGGAGGTATGATGAGATGACTGTAAGTCGCTCTGGATAAGAGCGTCTGCTAAATGACTAAAAGAAATACAAATAAAAATGACAGTTGTCACAATTTTTTTTCAGTCATCATGGAACCACCGGTAGCTGTTGTGTGTGCTTTGTATGCGCTAGAGTCAATTATGATTGCATTTCATATCTTCTACTTTTTTACCAGTTGTAGGTAAGCTATTTAGATTGTAATTATGGAGACACCTGTTTCCAACTATTTTTTCCATAAAATATATTAATATGCACATCAATAAATAATGGAGACTGGAAAACAACTTTGGGCGCACTAGGGCGCATTACATAAATAATCTCGGAGGTGGTTTAAACTGCATTCTAATGTTGACTTTGCTTAAAGAAAATGTATCAAGCGAAGTGCTTTATGCATGCTCAGTTCTTGGGTCTCGGGGGCTGCCAGAGTGGTTCTTTTTATGGGGAAAAGTCCTCAATGAAATTGACATTAGGCTAAATGTGGAGAATGATACATTTGCCTCTGTTGGCCACCAAGTAGCCTATTAATGTATATACCATTGATACAATAAATACACTGCTCAAAGAAATTAAGGGAACACTTAAACAACACAATGTAACTCCAAGTCAATCACACTTCTGTGAAATCAAACTGTCCACTTAGGAAGCAACACTGATTGACAATAAATGTCACATGCTGTTGTGCAAATGGAATAGACAACAGGTGGAAATTATAGGCAATTAGCAAGACACCCCCAATAAAGGAGTGGTTCTGCAGGTGGTGACCACAGACCACTTCTCAGTTCCTATGCTTCCTGGCTGATGTTTTGGTCACTTTTGAATGCTGGCAGTGCTTTCACTCTAGTGGTAGCATGAGACAGAGTCTACAACCCACACAAGTGGCAGGTAGTGCAGCTCATCCAGGATGGCACATCAATGCGAGCTGTGGCAAGAAGGTTTGCTGTGTCTGTCAGCGTAGTGTCCAGAGCATGGAGGCGCTACCAGGAGACAGGCCAGTACATCAGGAGACGTGGAGGAGGCCGTAGGAGGGCAACAACCCAGCAGCAGGACCGCTACCTCCGCCTTTATGCAAGGAGGAGCAGGAGGAGCACTGCCAGAGCCCTGTAAAATGACCTCCAGCAGGCCACAAATGTGCATGTGTCTGCTCAAACGGTCAGAAACAGACTCCATGAGGGTGGTATGAGGGCCCGACGTCCACAGGTGGGGGTTGTGCTTACAGCCCAACACCGTGCAGGACGTTTGGCATTTGCCAGAGAACACCAAGATTGGCAAATTCGCCACTGGCGCCCTGTGCTCTTCACAGATGAAAGCAGGTTCACACTGAGCACATGTGACAGACGTGACAGAGTCTGGAGACGCCGTGGAGAATGTTCTGCTGCCTGCAACATCCTCCAGCATGACCGGTTTGGCGGTGGGTCAGTCATGGTGTGGGGTGGCATTTCTTTGGGGGGCCGCACAGCCCTCCATGTGCTCGCCAGAGGTAGCCTGACTGCCATTAGGTACCGAGATGAGATCCTCAGACCCCTTGTGAGACCATATGCTGGTGCGGTTGGCCCTGGGTTCCTCCTAATGCAAGACAATGCTAGACCTCATGAGGCTGGAGTGTGTCAGCAGTTCCTGCAAGAAGAAGGCATTGATGCTATGGACTGGCCCGCCCGTTCTCCAGACCTGAATCCAATTGAGCACATCTGGGACATCATGTCTCGCTCCATCCACCAACGCCACGTTGCACCACAGACTGTCCAGGAGTTGGTGGATGCTTTAGTCCAGGTCTGGGAGGAGATCCCTCAGGAGAACATCCGCCACCTCATCAGGAGCATGCCCAGGCGTTGTAGGGAGGTCATACAGGCACGTGGAGGCCACACACACTACTGAGC